AAGACGACAAGAAAAATGAATGGGAGAAGATTAACAGAGAAAGATTTACTGGAATACTGCACTACATTATTTCCCACGTGGACACTTTTTTTACTGCAAGTACAACTCAGTTAATGTTCACCCACCGAAATTGATTTGGAGCTCAATAACTTTAAAAAAAAAGAAAGAAAAAAAAGATAAAAAAAAATACGATTTTGATTTCTCATTTGAAAACTGAACAGATTGCAGAAATAGGACATTGGAGAGTAGTGTAGCTCATGCAAATAAATAATAAAAGTAAATCCTACTTGATAAACCAATTAGTGTGCTTCCTCACACACAACAGGATGAGGTGAACTCAGCTGTTCACTTTTGTGTGAACATCCACAAATCTCTAATGGGTGACAGGAGAGGATAACTGAACTAATGACATTTGCTGGCTGACTGCACAATGCTAAACAGAGGCTAAACGTAGTATGGAGAGTGCTTGAGAGACAGATAGAAGGACTTGCTGTTTCGATGTTTTTTTTTTTTAGAAAACTACAATAATGTTGCAAAAACATTAATAAGCACAAAACATTAGCTTATTGTCTGTAAATGTGGTGTTCAACCTAATATGGGATATAAGTTGCTCTTTAATAACAACTTTCTTCATATTTTCTTACAATTCATTAGACCCTTGTGGCATTGTGTTTTATTTTTCCATTAGTATTTATTGGCAATTGACCTTTTTTTTTTTTTACAGTGAAGAGGCTGTAGACGGGAAATTAGAGAGAGGGTGAGGATGACATGCAACAAAGGTTCTAGCTGGATTCGTTGCGGTTACGTGGTAAGCATCTTAGACTACTAGCCTGCCGTGACAGCCGGCATAGTGCTTTTTTCAAGATTAAATGTACACTCCTGTCTTGAATTAGGTCATCATCAAGAAGTTTAATATTATTTATTTAACAACAAGTAGTGTCCTCTGGATTTTATGTATGAATAGATGGTGAGGTGGTAAAAAAATGTTCTCAAATGAGGCTGACATACTTTTTATGTCCCATAATTCAAAGCATCTTCAATAATCTGCCTCCTACATTTGAATATTCCTACTGTGATTTTCTCAGTAACGTAAGCACATGATTTTAATCGACCAACTTCAACAGTCGCAAAGAAAACAACACGTAGATGTTGAATTTCTTGCAGACAAATTAAGCTGATTTGGGCTATGGCCACAGAAAATACTTGTTTCCAATTACCAGCGGGGGCTGTAAAATATTTTAAGTAAGGACAGCTCACAGCAACACGGTTATGGTCACCTCTTCAAGCATCACTCCTTACATGTGGTCTTGATTTCATTCTAAATCAGTGTTTACTACACAGGCCTGGACACTACAGTGAGGCAAACCAAAGGCTTTTCTAATCACACCAGCTTTCTCATGACTACTGTCAATGGCTCAATTTCCCTGACCATCCCTGGTGTTTTCTTTTCTTGCACGGCTGTCTGAAAGCTAGGACATATCCTCGGGCTGCTACTCTCATCACAGGCGCACACACAAACACGTGTGTGCACACGGCTCTAGAAACTGCTGGGGCTCTGGGAACATGGAACACATACATCAAAGAAAAACACTGCTAGCAGTTACCATGGAGATCTCCGTGTCTGAAACACCTTCTGCTGAAGTTTGTCCTCAGAACAGACTTAGACTTATATGAGTGGGTGTGTGTGTGAGAGACACAGTGGACGAGTTGATGGAGGCCTATGGGAGCCGAGGATGGTGAGGCCTCCCACAGTCAGTTGGAAAGGAAAGCTAAGATAACACCATCATTGTCTGCAGAAACACTAGTGCCCCCATTAACATTTGGATTTCAAGTAGCCAAATGTGCGAACAGACACACACACACATACATACACATGTGGGTGGCTGAGCAAAGTTTATAAAGGTTTACACATTGTAGAAAAGGTTGTAGACACAAAACTGAAGCGGCAGTGCTCTGGGTCTGAGACGTGTAACACAAAGAGGTTGGCAGAAGAGGGAGAATCCGTTAATGCCAGCAGACTCACCATTCTGACTGAACACTGTTCATACAGTTGCCTCAGCAACAACACAATAAAACTTTACATTTAAAGTTACTTTCCAGTAAATTAATGTTCTAATGTTCTAATGTTAATGTTCTAATCTTATCTTTATTTATTTATATATTAAAAGTTCTCTATTTTTTGTGTGTGATTGTTGTGTGATTTGTATATTTTTGTGTGATTGTATATTTTATGCACCACTGCACCAAGACGAATTCCTCGTATGTGTAAAAACCTACCTGGCAATAAATCTGATTCTGATTCTGATAATGATAATGAGGAACACATTCTTCAAAATGTTTTAACTGTACTTAGTTAATTGTTGGCGCGTCAAAAACAAAACCTTAGCTCATGACTGAAGCCTTGCACGTATCAAACTAGCATTGCAGGGTTGGCAAGCATTGTAACATGTTGAGGTTAAGACAGGCAGCTTTAGTTTCAACTTGCCTGTTTTTTACAGACTCAGAGTCTACAGCCAAGCTAATGGCTATCCAGCGGGGCCTTGAGCTTAATGCTAACATCAACATGCTAACATACTCACAGTGACAATGCAATGACACTATTGCTGTGACCGTGACACTAACATTTGCTAATTAGCACTAAACACACAGTACAACTGAGGCTAAAGGGAATGTCACTCATTTTGTACTAGTTATCTCTGCCAGGCGTAAGCCCGCAGGGGATCACGCGTGCGGTTGTATGTGTGCGCGTGTCCCTAGTGGACCCATCGGTTCAATTTCTTTTGGTGCATATTTATGAATGTATGCTCAGAGACTCGTGGTTGCGGTGATTCATACGGTGAAAAATCTTTTTTTTTTTTTTAAAACCCATTATATTGACTGTTCTGTTTTATACCGCTTTCAAGTCCTCACCCCTCTTAACCGGCTGGCAGAGGTGCAGGTGATCAACAACTTCTAGGCTAAAAACAAGGCTTACCTAGTCTGTTGAAGGCCATATTTTAACCTTGGTGCAAAAATATACATATATAGAAAAGCTTGGTCTCGTCTTAAACCAGAGCATCTACAGATTCATTCCATAGCCGATATGTTTGATATAAGATGAATAAATCCCCGTTTTTGTTTGAATTATTAAATTTGCTTTAATTATTATTAAAGTGAATTAGACATTTGTTACAATAGCCAGAAATAGAAAAAAACTCTGCCACATTTCAAGTGATGTACAGTGTAATACTAGTGTACTAGATAGCTAGCATAGTCAATCAAGAATTGCATCTAATCATCACAGACCAGTTGTATTAAAATAAAACTTAAACATGATTTCATGTTTTTTCATAGGTATTCAAGATGAATTAATCATGTGTGATGTGAACATCTTGGTCCTCTGCAAAGTCTCCAGTCTTATGCAGGGCCATTTTTCATGACGTACATTGTGTGTTTTTTCATGATTTCCTAGACGTTGTAATGTTACACCGAAAGTAAACGGAAAAGTACAAACACTTCTTAGGACAGCTTGTCTTTGAATGCAGGCACAATGTAGGAAGACGCCGCCCTAGCAATGGTGACTTGTTTACTTTCTGTACTTCCCCGCATTTGTGTATACTGTGCAGGTAAGCTTTAGTCCAGCTTTCAAGTTCTCTTACTTGTACCAGTGAAAGACTGTCACAACATTTTTGATTTAATAACTTCTTGTAGTTTCTAGTGAAAGGAAAAATATCTCCTGTGGGAATGCAGGTATTTTTCAACTTCACATGAAGACTAACAGTTTAGATGAGAATCGTCGGCCATCTGTAATTCTTATACTCAACTCAACACTCACACACTATGTAAATGATCTAATTTCGAAAGCATTCCAGGAGTTACTTTGTGACGATGTGTGTAATGATGTTGTAATTTACCTTCATTGTGTCCTCTTTCCTTTTCTACCTGCTACACCCAGATAGTTTTGCATTTGCATGTAAAAGTCTACAACAATAGTGATTGTCATGCCAAGCATGGTTGCGAAAAGATGGTTTCTCCTAGCTCTTCTATAATAGCACAATCTACATTCAGCCAGTAATCCATGGAAGAAAATTCAGTTACACCACCAAACAACAACAACCTAAAACTGCAAAAAATCTGTGTATCACAGATTAATGTGCTGTGTTTCTATGTTTGACCAGTGTAAAAAATAAATAAGGTTTTATAATGTTGTTGAATTCTTTTTGGGTAATCCTTCTTAAATAAAAGTTATTGTTCTGATACACAGCTTGTGTAAAGTGTTCTTCAATTGATTGACAGTTGGAAGAGAAATATCAATGCACAAGTGATTTAAGTATGAATTAATGGAATTAGCATGTTTGTTCTGGTAATGTGCCACACAGGGCTTCTACCTGGCTGCCTAAATGACAACAAATTTAGCTGTACTTATATTCACTAATCTGCCTAATGAAGTACTTGGCAACAATTATGTGATTCTGTTCACGTATGTTAAAACATCTTGCACTAGAGTACAGATGGAGCGGTTGAGTCATTTCTGCTTGTTACCATGTTAATGCCAGACTTACTAATCCATTAATAGTTTTTGATTAAAATTAAACGTTATGTATTATACAAGGGTTCTTTAAAAG